GTTTAGCTGAGGAAAGAAAGCACATCTTTTCTGCTGGGGAATTTTAGACACATCAAGGGTGAAGCTGGGCACTTACTGGGACTTGGGGCAAGCAGCTGAGTGCAGATTCCTGAAAGGTGCTCAGGGGTCCACAGTGACTGCATGTGGTCAATGCAGATTTTGGCATTGTATATGTTAAAGGCATAAAATACCGGTGTGTATATAATATAAATGTGTACTAGGTATTTGTTTGCAATATGCAGCATGCGTATAAAAGGCAGCATGTTGCCATTCTCCCAAGGGGAAATGATTTCCTTAAACAATGAAGAAATACTTTAGATTATTTTTAAACCAAAGCAAGAAAGTTTTCCTGAGCAATTTCAACATGCCAAACCCACAGCAAGTGTACATTTAGTGCTGAGGAAGGTGTGTATTGAGAGGACTGAGTGACTGAATGTCAGCATCAAACGTGAAACAGCAGCTGACAGTGAGTGAGTGGGAGACTGGGCTGTCACATCAAGGGGGAAATCAATGCACGGAAACAAAAATGAAGTAACATTTTATCAGCTAGTTGGATAACTTATAATGATGTTCAGCTTTTAGACACAATGCCTTAGGCAGACTGCTGATGTGTGAGGAGCCCCAGCGTAGATCTGCCAAGTCATACATATTTTTAGGTGTTCAGAGATTTCAGGGGGTGCAGAGAGAAAGAAGAGGTGAAAAAAAAAGAGATTACAGTAAAAAGTGCTGCTGCTCTGACACCACGATTTCTGGGAAATTATTCCCCTTAGAGAGGAGTAGGGCCCAAGAAGTACAGCTGGTTGGTTGACAGGACAACAACAATTGCATCTGTACTCAGTCACTGCTCTTATATAAAATGATAGCTGGCAAAAAATGAGTGGCTTAAAGGAAAATCTGAATTTTAGACGTTTTCTTCCTCTTGTTAGTTTGCTTCCCAAGGACCCAATTATCTGGCTCATGAAAATAAATGCTTATATCTTCACCACAAGCAGTCAGTATTTTTGCAGGTGCTGAGCCCCCTTCCCTTGCCATGGTTTTCACCTGCTGGAAAGGCGAGTGGTTTGTGACCTCTCCAAAGGAGAGCTCTGTCAGTGTGATGCTCTTATTTGCTTTGTTTAACGGTTCCATGTGCACCTACAGGAAAGTTGGCTCATGGCTTATTAGCAGGACGCAGGAGTGGCTTCTCTCCATGCCCCAGCATTGCTCCAGTCTGGTCATTCTTTTTAATTGCCCAGGAGGAACGAGGCAGGGAGAAGAGGCTACTGGAAGGGCAGGGACAGCCTGAGCAGCACCTTCCCTTACAGCATTTGGGTTATATAAAAGAATTTCATGCCTTAGGTTGGGCTCTGACATAGATGTGGGTCTGCTGTGAAACAGAGGTCTGGATTTAGGTTTGAATAATATCCAGAATTTCTGGAAAATTGATACAATTACAGCTGGTCCTTTCTCTTCATGTGGCTGTCCTTGGAGGGAGGTGGGAGCCCTGCAGCTCTGTAGTGTTGCTGTTTGCTGCTTGGGTACCTCCCTGTGCTTTCACCTTGGAGCCCCCGTTTCCTCCATCCATCCAAGAAATACAGCTTCACTGTTGGGAGGGTTCACTGCAAAACTTGTAAACCTTTAAAACAAACTAGTCCTATTAAAAGTCCTAATTTAAAGTATCTTTCTCTCTGCTCCATGTGGGTCCTAAACTGGAAGTAAAGCACCCTATGCACTTGTTTGGCCTCATCCTTGCAATGTTTGGGTTTGGGTTTTTTGGGAGTTTGGGTGATTTTTGGTTTGTTTGTTTGTTTGTTGTTTTCTTTTGGTTTTTTCTTCCCCAAATTTAAAATCTGTTGTTGTGTCTAAAGGCCTTATCTCTAACTTGTGTTCAGGTTTTGTAGGCTAACAAGTTACTTCAGTCAATGATGCCTATAGGACTGTGACATTAAACATTTTGAAGTTCTGACCATTCAAGCACTCATGTTACCCACCTGAGAGCTTTGTGCTTGAAAGGTATCGCTACAGACAGGAAGCCAAGTGCAAAACAGCTGCTTAGGCTGATGGTTCCATACTGTTGTCCTTGGATGTTAGAAATAAATGCATGTGAGCATCAGACTGTATAAAAATGAGCTATATTTTATCATCTGATTCCATATTTCACTTCCAGTTAGTTTCCTGTGGGTGCTCATTTTGACTGACCTCTTCTTATTTGCATTAAAAGCTCATGGAGTAATTTCCATTTCTGAGGACCTTTGCTCATATGACTCCTGCCGTGGTCTTGCCAGGGCTAATGCACTAACCAGGCTCAAGGCACAAGCAGTGCCTCGACCAGGAGCTTCCAAACAAAACAGAGATGCTGCTGCTGAAATAATGATGTTGCTCAGCAGATAATACTCGTTTGCTTCAGTGCTGACTGAAGTGGAAGTTGCAGTTGGTATTAAAGATTACCATCCTGGTGATAGATGAAATAGGGGAGGGATAAGAAGTGTTGTTTCTTCTAATCTCTCCCTTTGAAGTATCTGCATGCATAAAAATGATCATTTTGGAAAAATTCGTGTTTGAAAGCCAGAATGTACTAATGTGATGCTTTTCAAACCAAATGACTTCGTGTGCTTTTACAGAACATTGATGAAGAGTTTCTGACATGAGAGAGAATGCAATGGTTTTAAAAGAGTCTGTTTCCATTTTATCCTGCAGAGATATTCTGGATTGACTCTTTTCTGTTGACTCCTTGTTAATGTGGCAGTTCAGGCTGAGAGGACCTTTATTCCCATGGTGCTGGAGCCTTTGGTCAGTGCAGGTGGGAAATGATTGTGTGTCCAAACAAGCTCCTTCAGCTACTGGGTATTCTCCTGCTCATGCCCTCAGCTGACAGACATGGCCAGTTCAGTTTAGCTTATGGGACCTAATTGCTTCCTCTGATGTCAGGCAGCAGGTCTCTGTAGCTTCTAACTTGTTTTACATCCAGATCCATGAAAAAAGAGGCTTTTGTGTCACATTTAAAAAGTTTGAATCATTTCCATGGAAAACACTTCAAGACTCTGTGAAGCAAAAATTCTCTGTATGTGTTCTTTGCAAGATGAGAAACTATTTTAATACCTCAAGGAGAAATACCTCGAAAGAAATCCATTTCATGACAAATTACATCCATCCCAAAAGCTGGCATCAGGGAATAGGATCGTAACTCCTTAAGACCTCCATGGGAATGTTGTAATCCAGACCTTGTCTAAAAGTCTCAGCAAGGAGAAAGTACCTGGGAGCCACTGAAATAGAAGTTCATTATAATGAATAGAGTATTCAGTGGAAGGAAAACATATTTTCAGTTGTAGCGAGTTCAGGGTATTGTTGATCATTAAACACATTGTTTCCATTTGAGGCAGTTTCCATCATTATTGCTCTTCCTTGTTCCTTGGCTCCCATGTTGTAAGGCCAACAGGTCCTTGTCTGTAAGTGAAGGGTGACACAGTGAAATGACTGAATTCTTTAAGAGCACGGACTGCAAAGGGAGTCAAAGACTGACAACTGCCCATCTTCACCTGCTGAACATCTATGTAGGGAACAGGCAGAGGTGTAGCAGCCCCAAGACATGTTCTGGGATGCCCCATGCACTGCAGGCTGTCAAAAGAGACGGAAGTGACTGGGCTGGATCCACCCAGCCTGCAGCAGGTACCAGCTCTGGGCCAGTCCTCACCCACAGTGTCGTGTCCATCAGTGACCCTGGTTTCCTGATCCTCAGCATCTCAGCAGCCCCAGCAGGATTTCTAACCACCAGTGGGGTTGTGTCACCAGTTTGGTCACAACATGGGCATGTGGTGGAGCTAAACCATGGTTGGAGTTGCTGTGAAACTTCACCAGTTGAGCTCTGACAGACACTGAACAGTAGCTGACAGGAGGGGAAAATGAAGAAGCCAATAGGGCCAGAGATGAGCTACCTGCCAGATTTTGCATTGGCTAGGCTTGGTCTGCAGAGGGTTTTATTAGTGACTAATGTTCTGGGATAAAGTTCATTTTCTTCCTAGTAGCTGGTACAGTGCTGTGTTTTGGATGTTGGATGGGAATAACATTGATAACCCACTGATGTTTTAGTTGTTGCTGAGCAGGGCTTGCACAGAGTCAGAGATTTTTCAGCTTCTCATCCCACCAGGAGGCAGAGGGTCTCAAGAATCTGGGAGGGGACACAGCCAGGACAGCTGACCCCAACTGCAAAAGGGATATTCCAGACCACGTGGCATCATGCTGAACAAAAAGCAGGGGAGTTGTCCAGTGGGGTGGCTGCCTCTGCTCGGGGGTGGCTGGGCATCAGCCAGTGGGTGGTGAGCACTTGCACTGGGCATCACTTGTTTGGTATATTCTTTTATCACTATTATTGTTTTTCCCTCCTTTTCTGACCTGTTAAACCAGAAAACTATTTTACCTTTTTTCAACATCTCTCCCCATCCCGTGGGGGGAGAAAAGGGTTCTTTGGTGTTTGGCTGCCAGCCGGGTTAAACCACAGCACTAATTAGTGCTGGTGAAAAGGCTCCTTCTTAACAGCCCCAAAAGTGGTGTGGGACAAAACGCAGAACAGAAAGTTTCTTTTTGAGATATGATCAAAAAGTGCATTTTTCTTTTGAAACTCATTATTTTTACTCCTGGGTTCTTTTCATTTTTATATGATTTCACAGCCTGCTAATACCAGGGCTGGGGGCTGTTACATGTCAAATCACGCCAGCATTTGCAATCATCTCACATGGTGTAATCCCAATAGTGTATTTAATTTTTATTTACTTTAAACCTTGTAGGCAGATGAACATTACTTTTATTTTCAGCTCAGAAAAACTGTTATGCATTACCAAGAAATATTTTTATGCTGTGATTAGATGCTGTGATTAGAAAGCAATGCTGTTACTGCTGTGTCATATAGTCAGGTCAAACAAGAAAAATAATTAAGTAAAAAACTGTTTCAAATTACCACAATATTTATATGGGGGGGGGTTATTTTTTTTTTCTCTATTTTTATTTTAACGTCTTCTCCTTTACAGGGAATTTTGAAAATGAACTGGGTTTTAATTCCAACTGGCAAGGAACACTTGGGACTGAAATCAAATCTGGAGCTAGTCACGTGTCAGGAGAAGATGAAACCTCACGCTCCAGGTGTGATCATAAGACTTTTTGCTGCAGCTTCTAATCAGGTGAGAACTCCAGCTAAAATTGATAGAAATCCTGCCTGTGGAGTTTTGGCCTTGAGAGTGAGCTGTGAAGCAAGAAAAAAAAAATCAGGGAATCAATGTCAGAAAAAAACGTGGTATTGCAAAGAACTGTTTGTCAAGAAAATAACTGCATGGAAAATATTCATGACAGAATACAACTGATGTCTCAAAAGAGGTAATACAATATCAAATGAAATAAAAACTGAAATAACATAATTTCACAGAATCACAGAATCATAGAATGCTTTGGATTGGAAAGGACCTTAAAAATCATCTAATTTCAACCCCCCTGTTATGGGCAGGGACACCTTCTATATCCTCAGGAGGTAATTTCATTCTCAATAGGAGCTTAATTTTCTGGTGTCGTTTTAGAAAGAATTGCATGATCAGGTGGAAATGTTTTGGAAACTGGTGCTGGCCAAGCTATATTCCAGTATAAATTACAATCAGCAGTAATTGTATGCTTAGGAAATGCTATCTGATATTACATCCTGCAAACTGATATTCTCCTCTGTGCAAAAAACCACTATTTATGGACCAAGAAGTTCTTTGTCTCTCTTGAATCTTTTATAGAAAGTTGTCTCTGGAAAGTTTTGAAATTTATCCATTGTATAGAGATGAACTGCATATCCAACCACTTGTTTCAACTCCAGCTATCAAAAATGAGTTTAAAACCGCTTTCCTGCTCTGGGACAGAAATGCTCCTCTAGAGTAGTTAATTCAATCAGTTGTCAAGAGTCAAATGACCTCATAAATCAAAAGAATCTATGGAGAGATCAGTGTGGAAATTGCAAGAAGATTTATCAGTGGTAAAAGCTGTCTTAGTATGCAATTCAGTGTTCCCTCTGGATGTTTGGAAGGAGTTTCTGATGTGTGAAGTTAAACCCTCGGCTCTTCCCTTGCCCTCCTGACTCACAACAAGACCCAGATTTCTCTCTCTAGTGTGGGGCTGCCCCAATACACCACAAGGTGACTTGGGATAAAAGGAGTCCAATGAGCTCTATTTTCAAAGCCACTGGAGGAAGTTGGTCAATGCAGGCTGTGTCCCAAATGATTGTTTGTCTAATTTAAGTCTGAATTAAGAAAATCATAAGTAAAGGTAAGTTATTAAAACACAAGGAGGATAAAGCAAATGGCAAAATATGCATCTGCAAAAGCTATTCCACTTGTGTGTATAAATCAAGAGACTCTGCGCTCAAGTAGAGAATTAGGCTGAGTTGCCTGCTGTTATGCATTTAAATTAAGCAGGAGTCTAATAGCTTTTTAAAATTCTGGCCCTAAGTGTGTTGTTTTTTTCTCAGGGAAGAGATCACCTAATCAAAATAGTGCTTTAGAAGGAAGAACCATTTAATACTGAATACAAGTGAGGAGCTCTCTAACTACTAATAAAAACTCTACTGCTTGGGGAAGATTTGTTACTGTTGGTAAAAGCTTGAAGAGGCTCTTTGGAGCCAAGTTGCTGGTGGAGCTGGGAGCAGAGAGGAAGGATTCCATGATGCCAATGGAAGGAATGGTGTTTCTGTCCTTCGGGGGGGGAGGGGGGCGCTGGTGTAAGGGTTGTTTTAAGTTTACTTGCATTCTTTGCCTTCCATTCAGCTGCTGCAGAGCTGTGCTGAGGTTTTGTTCCAGGTAAGCCCCTGGATGTCAGCTCAGCAGTGCTCAGGCACAAGATTTCTTCCCGTTAATGCTTCGTTTCCACAGGCGGTTGCAAACGGGTTTCTATAGAATTCGTCTCCTTTGATCTTTTGAACTGTGTTCTAAAACAGGCAGCAGAAATTTCCTAGAAAGTTTTGACCTAATTTCTTGTCCGTATGAAGAGATATGGTGGTGTTCAAATCAGCTGCTTCGAGGCAGGGCAAGGAAAGCAACCTTTCCCCCATCCGTGTAGCAGAGGTCGTGCTCCAGGCACAGCACTGCAGCTCTGGAGACTCGTCCCTGTCATCTCCCTGGGTTTCCAGCAGTGTGTTTCTCTATCTGCAACAGATCATTTTTCCTCTTTATCAAAACATCTTTATCTAAACATGGGATTTCTGTGGAAGCTGAACAGGATAGCTCATGTGAAAAGTATTTTTGGTACAAAGCACCTGTGCCTTCCGCCTGCTACTGTTGTACTCTACAAATACCTGAAAATCAGAGTGAAATACAAGCAATTCTCCTGCAGACATCAGTTCCTAGTGGGGACTTTAAAGTGAGTTCAGTGTAATTGCTGTGGTTTTGAGCTTTACAGAATAGCTAATTTCACTTGACTTCCAGGAGGCGGGGTTAGGGGTTTTGGGTCTGCAATTAGAAGATGTGAGGGCACCTCCACTGTCTCTGGGAAGGATGTGGCTAAAAAGCCAGTCCAAAATTCAAACTACATTCCCTTTGCCTGCCCCTATTTGGGCCTAGCATTTACTCTGTGCATCTGCTGCAACTGGAGATGCCCTGGCAGCTGGAGAGGCAAAGGATAAAGGGGAGGCAGAGATGCTGAGCCCCTGCTGTCTGCATGTTTCTATGTGCACCTGGGAGAGAAGCAGGGATCTAGAAGGAAGAGCTGGCCTGGACATGGACCATATGGGACCAGAAGCTGGTTGAACAATCTTCTGTGATTTTCCCTGCAAATTATGTCCTGGGCTAATCTAAATTACAGCACAGCCATCTTGTCTACAGCACAGAACATCACCTGGTAAATCAGGCCTCTGTTCAACTTCCCCATTATTATGTTTCCTCTTTTTTTCTGCTGCCCTTCCCAGTGCAGAGCTGGGAACCTCTGGCCAGGGAAGGGGAGCCCTCTACACCCCACAGCTATGGCACAGTCTGCTGGAGCCTGGGTGTGTGATGCTGCTCCCTGCTCAGTATCTCCAGCCTTTCTCAGCCTCTTGTGTGGCTGCACCTATTTATACCTTGTTAGCAGCTTATCCTTGATATGAGGAGTTCGAGGCCTGCTAGTCTTGTATCATTTGTAGTCCTGTCTAAATTCTGATCTTTACAGCCACTGCTCTAGAAATAAAGAGATTAATCAAATTCCAGAAGATTACTAGAGCTTCAAACCAGTCAGAATCTGACTGAGAAAACATGTTAATCACTTCTCACTTAACCTGAGCACATTCTGCATCCTGTATTTCTCCTCCCGCTCTTGCCACTGATGCCCTGTATAATGTGGAGCTCTGACAGATGCAGAAGAAGTTATAGGGATTTTTGCCATCTTTTTAAACAGATATGTTTGTGTTGGTGCTTTAGATATTCTTTAGACATCCTGCTCAAACCTGTATACAGAAAAGGCAAGATCTCTAACCAAAATTCATGTGTAGAAATATGATTGCAGAGAGTTATGGAATTATTTGTAAGGTTTACAAAGTACTGCAGAAAAGTAGCGAATAAGTCAAAGCAGAAGGATAAGCTACACTATTCAACAACTCATTTCTTATATTTTAGTAATTTGAACATAAAGCTGTTACAGCAGTAAGCAAAATTTGTTTCAAATCTTTTATTGTAAGTGCATTTACTTAAACAGGAAAAAAATATTCCTGGACCTTTATTGCCATTTTGAGCATGTGAATGAAAAGAAATTAAAAAAAAAATGTGTCACTTTTCAAACACTTTAGTTTTTCATCAGAACCCAGTGAATTAGTGTTGCTGACACAGCTGCAGTTGCAGGATTGCTGCAAAACTGCCCCAGTGTGGAGCTGAACTTAGAGAAAATCCTCATATGCCCTTTTGGCAGCACAGCCATACCAGGGAAAAAATAAAGAATCCAGAGGGGTTTTTGTTCTTCAGGAGCTTGTATATGTTCCACACTACGACAGACCAGTCCATGCACACTACCTGACACTGATATGGGTATCCCAAAGGATGCACAGTGTACAAATAGATCCTCTCTTTTGAATGTCCTCTAATTAAAGACATAATTGGCAGGCGATAAAACAGGAAAAGATATTAATTTATTTTGCTGTTGCTTCCATCAAGTTAGCTAGTGACACACTCTGTCTTGGTTTTTATCTTCTTTTTCTGGTTTTAAATTTACAGATGCCTCCATTCCCCACCACACTTTTTGCTTTGGTTTAGAAAGGGTGAAGTTCCCTTGGCTCAGCTCACACACAGCTCAGGTGAGTTCCATGGGCTTAATTTTCTTCTTAACTTTTTGAGTGATTTTATACAGGGAGATGTTCCTTCATGTAGTCCTCTAAAACTATTGATAATTAACTTTTGGGGCCCAGAGGAGTGTATATAACTATCTGGCTGCAGCTCCTGTAAAACTTGCAGGTTTATACTGGGTGGTGGCTGGATTTGTGAAAATCCTCATTTTGTGATGGGACTGTGTCTGACACCTCTGGTCCTGGCCCAGGACCACATCCCACATACAATGGTACTGCCCAAAACTCTCAAAGCTACTTTGACTAATCATTATTATAAATGCATAGTAGGCATTTCTGTGATTATATTATCTAAGTAGCTTCAAGGAGAGGCATTGGAAGGTAGAAGGTAGAAAAGGGACAAACAAAAAAGCCATTATAATAAAGAAAGTTTCTCATGCTGTTTCTGTCTGCTGCAAGGAGGGCAGGACTGTGCATGTATAAATCACAGCCTCATAAGTAAAAAGGAAGAGTGTGAAGAAAACCTAAGCTCATCCAGACTTTTTCCACATGGAAAAGAGTCTGTAGGATGGGAAAAGTATTTGTTGTCTTACAGGAAATAATAAAATGTCCCAGAGAAAATATAGAAGCCAATTGATTTAATGTGTCACCATTTGCAATCTATAAATATCCCCGTGGCAAACTCAGAAGATCTCAGTTTATTTGTGGCTGGGAAATGGAGACCAAAAGCAGCCTCATATATAAATACAATGGATTTCACAACCTCAGGATTTATTGTCTCTCCTTCAGCAATGGGGGTGACACACTGAAACAATACTGAGCCATAATGGGAAAACTGTCCTACTCAGGATTTATGAATTTATAAAGGATAGAGTCAGTTTTGTTGTGTGATTCAGCAGTAAATCACTGCTTGTGGGTGCCAGAGTTTGCATCAGGTGGGAAGGTGCTCGTGGAAGGACACAGCACGTTTTCCAATGCAGCTGTTGGGCATGGAATGGTAATAAAGGGAAGAAGGACCTGCCCCAGATCCAAAATGCTCATTGAAGCACGTCAGTAGCCAGCACTAGAAACATAAAGCTTCACAGCCAACGTTTGGAGGGTTTATTTAATTAGGAAATATATTCTGTCAGGCTTGTATTTAACTTTCTGTTTACCTCACCCTTGGCTTACTTTCTGCCTGTGGGTAGATCAGGACAGGTCACAGTTATATGCAGCTTTTATTTACCTGTGAATTTAGGTTTCCATTACTTTATCTCTGAATTATACACAGTGTTTGATGATGTGCTGTAGCATCTACGAAAGGTTTTTCCTCTTTTATAATTGCAGCTGGTATATTCAATGTAATAAGGGGGGTGGAGTGTGTGGTGGTGGAAAGAGAGGTTTCTATGCCCAGTCTGACTGTGGCAGGAGGGTTCTGCTTTCATCCTCACAGAGGATGTGCATGTTGAGAGACATGTTTCTGAACAGCAGGCACAATGCTGTGTACTGAGGCTCAGACTTCAAATGGGGCATAATCAGGCATTTCAGGCCCCTGCTTATGCTCCTGAAGAGTTGGCCTGATTTTCAAAAGTACCAGGCAATCAACATCCCCTTATTGATTTCAGTGGGAACTAGTCAGCCTTCAACACATCAGAAAAATTGGGCTGGTTATTTAGAAACCTGCTTACGGTTTTCAAATCTATACTCTGGGGCTGGTTTTTTATTTTTTTCGTTGCTGGAACTGGCCTCTGCTTTCCTCTGCTGCATGTGCTCTTCATATGCTCAGTAATGCTTTTGCTTACTCTGCAAACAGTGGCTTTTCTGGCACACTTGGCCCTGGAAGTCCTGTAGATTAACAGGTTTTTTTCCTCTCAAGATCTGCTTTGGGGAAGAGGAGTTGAGGAGTGTGGTTTTGGTAATCAAAAAGTCATCTGCCCTCTCTTGCATTTCTCCAAAGTTTTTCTGTTACTTCTGAGCTGGGAGTCCTGGTTTTGCAGTGAAGAAAATGCAAGGTGGATATTAGGAGTGTTTCTTGACTGTTGTGGGTTGAGAGATAGGCAGGTTGTGAAGATTTTGGAGAACCAGTTAAACAAACAAGTTTTGGGACTGTGGGGCGTTGTTTGAGTCTGCAGGTTGAGGAAAGTGGCTGTCTCAATTCGGGGAACTGCAGATGCAGGACATCCATAGAGGCTTGCAGCTCCTGTTGGGGGACATGCAGATGGATCTGAGCAGAAAAGAGCCTGAGAAATGCAGGTCACTAGAGGAAGAAGGCGAAAGGGGGTGACATTTCCCTTACCGGTGTGACGGGAGTTGTCGATGGCTGTTACAGCCGGGTGCTGGTTTCCTTCCATCTGACGCTGGGAATGTCCTGCTCTTTTGACTTACATGTGTGAAATAATTCACAGGCTGGAAGAGGAGGAGCACCCAGGGATGCTGGACTTGCCTGTGCACTGAGGGGTCCTGGGCTGATCCCACAAGGCCTTTCCCAGCTCTCAGCACAGGAGCACCGTCCATCAAGGCAGCGGAGTGCCACTGAAACTAAACTTTAAAAGACAACTGGAAGTTTGCAGGTATTCTTTCAAACCAAAGAGCCAAACAGAGCCTTTATTCCCACATTAGCCTGGTACATGTTTTTGTAATCATAACAGCAGAACAACTTACAAACAACCTTTCTAAGGGCTTGTGGGGGGTTAGAGGTCCTGTCCCTCTGGCCTTGGTCTTACAGCTTCCCACACCTTCCGTCAGAGACTGGGGGAAAGAGTGTCTTTTAGGGTAAAACTCTCTATTCTTCATTCCTTTAGCAGCTTCCCGTGCTGCCAGGCAGCAGCATGGGGCCTGTCCAGGAGCAGAGCAGGAAAGGAATCATTGCCAGGTCCTGATTTCTCCAGGGCATCTCAGCTCCTTACGATCCTCTGTGCAAAGCACTGAGCAGAGGTTTTGTGTAGCCATCATGAGACTAACATTATGAAAGATGCTATTGATATCATTCTGACATAGGAAGCATGTAAAGAATTAGAAACAGACTCCCCTGAAAGAAGCAAGACAACGGGATATATTACAATATCAAAATGTACTTGACAGGTGGAATTTATATAGCACATAGTGAAAGAAGCTGTTTGGTGAGTGATACATTTCATATTAAAACATATAAATCATCTACTTGGAGAAGAATTGGACTCTCTGGGCAAGTAGCTTAGCTGCTGCATCTGACATGCTGCCTGTTACAACAGATATATTCATTTATGAAGCTGATAATCATTGCCTACTTTTTGTATTTATTCCAGGGTAAAATTCAGAATTAGATATATCAGTCACACCATCTGACAATACTCTGTCTGTTACTGGCTTGATTGTGTTATTCCAATGTTGCAGTATAGTTGATACTCCCTAGTTAATCAGTGCATCTATTGATTAATATATATTCCCATTAGAGTAAATATAAATCATATTAAATTAGATAATATAACCATAATAAACCTGCTGTATCCAGTATGTAACATACTAAATCAAAATTAGCAATTACTAATTGAAATTATATCCCCTCGTATAGCGTTATATAAATCAAAGGCATTTCTCTAAAATCCATGCATCATTCAGAAGATTAATCCTCCAGCAACTGTAAATGTTTTTCCACTACATTCATTTGGCTAAGCTGGATAATGGTAATAGCCTGGAGGTTAAATACACAACGCTCTGTTAGAGCTGACAGAGTGGTTATTGCCACGTGTGTCCTTAATGCCCATCACATTGTACCAGTCACAGAGCCCTGGGGATGGTCAGTGCACTGCACCCACCAGCTCCTGGGAGCTGGGCTTCCTCAGCTCATGGAATTAAGGGGAGGTTGTCTCTACAGCACACTTGGAAGTCTTTTACTCTCTGCCTTGGACACAAAATATGGGGACACAAAAAATCACATGCTCATTTGAAAGAAACATCAGTGGTTTGGATGTTCTCAAACCCACCAGTGCTTTTCCCTTCCTTACTTCCCGCTTGAAACTCTGAAGGTTTCAAAGGGGTGTTTTGAATTTCACTCTCCAACATCCCAGAGAGCACATGGGAACACCAACAGGAACTGCTCTCCCATGAGCAGGCAGGACAGTGACTGGATTAATACTGCATTGACCCAACAGCCCTGCATGGACAACATCAGGCCTGAGTGAGGGGATCCTGCCAGGGTCCAATGGAGTGTATCTGGAGAGAAATACTTTTATGAATGATTTTGGAGTGCATTTCTGTAGGCATCACCACTGGCCTGTCAACAAGCACCTGGAGAAGCCCCACTTTGCAGACAGTGCCATGGGGAGAAATGCTGATTGCTCTGGGGTGAGGAAAGGGTGAGAAGTAGTGGGTGAGGCAGCCTGAGCTCCCTTCACGTGCAGCAGCTTCACAAAACGTCCTCACCACGCACAGAAAACCAATTGGAGGTTACACAAACCTCTCATGCTTACTCTGCGTTTTCCAAGTAGAAGACTGGGCACGAGTCCAAACACATAATCTGAGCGAGGGCATGTCACAACAAATAGGAAAGGGATAATTAGAATTTTATGAAGTGGCTCTCTATAATGCTACCTACTGTTTACTTACCAACAATTTTAAATTTAGCAATTGATGCATTTTTAATACCAATTAAAAAAAAAACATATTTGCTCATATTTGCTCTTAGTTATGTGGGGGTTTTTTTAAAATAACCCCGTTTCCCCGGTGGGACCGATGTGTGTGCACGTGTGTGTGTCTGCTCATAAAATGGTACCGAAATGTGTGAGAGAACAGGAATGTGGCTTAGCAGACAATAACTCTCGATTTCATTGTTTCAAGTGTTGTGTTTTTTTCTAAAAGTCAAGGAAAGTGCAGTTCACTGAAGACAACAGCAGTGAGAGAACCATTCCTGGGCCTTCTAGCAGTTTGGAGGAAGATACATATAAGAGGTAAACCTAAAAGCAACATGAGATGGAATGTTTTCTTCATTGTCCTTCACCACAGGTGAGTAACTTTGCTAGCTCGAGTGGTTGTTTCTTT